CAGTCAGGGATATTGGCGGAATCCGGACTATGCGAAGTATTGATGTACAATAAACAATTTAACAATTAATACAAATGAAAAAAAAAACAAAATTTAAATTTTGAATTCATTGAAACAATTTAACTAGAAATTGGCTCTGCGATTTTCATGCAAATGCAAATTACACTGAAGATCCAGTCACGCTCGGAATAAGCTAGCATATATTTTTTTTTTGTAATTCAGTCAATCCGCATCGTGTTTTTTGCTTTGTCATATATTGAACGTGGTATGCGTTACACGATGTAAACTAGCGCATTGGATGTTTACTTCCGTAATCTAGCTTTCTAATAACTGCCAATTTGCAGTATCATTCAAAATAAAAAATACTGAAACGACATTAGACATGACTTACAGATCACCTGCATCTACTTCTAAAATAATTCAAGCTGCAATCTGTTTACATTTAGTATCTTATTTCGTAAATAATGCAGTGTAAATGATTATGATTTATGTTATACAGCATCATTACCTTGGATTGCAGTAAAATTAAGTAGCCTTTACAAATTAATTCGTTACTATTAAATCATTCATAAAACGAAAGTTATTAAAATGACAATTTATAATAAAATAACTGCTTAAACATATTTCATTTTTACAAAGTAATAGTATTAGTTTATTATTAACAGATGAGTGATATTTTGAAGTAAAACAAAGAAAACATTTTGAAAAATAGTTTTCATTAATAAAAGTGATTTGTTTTCAAAAATAGTGAATACAATGCCAAATTAATGATAATATTAGCTGGAATCTAGATTTATTGTCATTAATAATTATATTTTACAATAAAAAAATATATAATATTAACCCTTCGTTACTCGCGCCACCTTTTCTAGCATCTTTACTCGCGTGGCGTCTGAGAAACTCCATTAAATGAATTAGATTGAGGATAAAATAAAATATATTAGTTTCTAAGCATATTTATTTAATAAAAATGTAAAAAATATATCTTCATCATCACTACCATGTCTTTGATTCCATTGCTTTTTTTCGACAAATCTGTAAACGATGATTAATTTTAGTTTCATTATAAATATATTAATCACAAAAACTTACCCTTTTTCAAAAATGGTAAATTAAAGACTCTACTAAGAATATTTTGCTATTAATCCTTCAACGCTTTATTCACAAATGTCGACATGTGCTTTCACATTCCCTCACCTTTCCTGTTTTAAAAGTTATGATAGGTTTGTTCGCACTGACGTCTCACAGACGCCGCGCGAATAACGAAGGGTTCTTCTTATTGATAATTAATAAAACAATGTATTGGGTTTTAAAATTAATAATAATACGTATTGCAACAATTTTATTATTTTAATAACTAAAACTTACCATTTTTCAAAAATTTTAAAGTAAAGACTGCTAAGAATATTTTGCTGATAATTCTTCAACCCATTATTCTGAAATGGCGTCATGTGCTTTTATATTTCCAGTTTTAAAAGTTATGATAGGTTTGTACGCACTGACGTCTCACAGATGCCGCGCGAGTAACGGGGTTATACTAATTGATAATTTATAAAAAAAAATGAATTAGATTTTATATTTAATAATAATAATACGTATTGCATTATGACAGTTTATGAACTTGAATCTTTTCTATCCACTGATAATTATTTTTAAATAATTATGTAATAAATTATTGACAATTAAAAATGTACTCAAATTTTAGTTATCTTCAAAAACAAACTTAATCTAAAATTATTGTATGCGGTAATAGATCGTAAACTCTACAATACATTTTTTTTAGTTGATGTTTACTAGAATTATACAGATATGATTAAGCTTAAAACCAATATCTAATACCATATTTATTTTAAATAGTTAATACTTATATCTCGATTGTTTTCAATATCTATCAATTTACGTGAAATGTGCATATTCGTAATTAGTGTACTTAAAATGCACTTAATTTTTTTTATTGTAAATGATCATATCTAATCACCATAGTAAACACTTCAGTAAAATAGAAGGAAGTTACGGTTAAAAAACCTTCGATTTATTATCAAATTAAAATAATGCGTATACAAAGCTTACATAATATATTTACAAAAATAATAAATCAGCGAAATCCTTGTCAGTAAATCATCCGTTTTTCAATCCTCGGACACTGAAACGAAAATTTAAAAAAAACTGTTAGAACAGGAAGCTGTATCGTAATCTACACAGATTAGAAAAAAATGTTGCCAAAAAATTTGTTGTGTTTGTTTGTTTATTTATTTTTTTTTTGTTCATTCTGCGTTTCAATTTTGAACGTTATCTGTAATTTAAAAATAAACAGTAAAAGGTTGAATATTTATATTTAACTCCAACGGGGTCGGAGTTCATCAGGAGCAAGAAAAATTGTTATACAACACGAGTCGTCGTCTCATCTGCATTCTCTCGCCTGATCGTCTCGCATTGTTATGCAACTGTTATCGATTTAACGCTTCGTTAAAATTTATGTGTATATGTATGAATTTTTGCGTCTCGATTACTGTGCAATTTTCTCGTGATCTGAACAGACGGATATAATTTTTTTCTTCTCAACGTATCGCATGCGGCGATCGGTGGATTTAAATTTTTAATTGCGGAGACGAATTCAGTGCACGGCCCTGAATGTATTAACGAGTTAATAACCCTAATGGAATTTAAATACCGAATTCGACAAAACGAAATATTCAAATGTGTGCATATATAAATATGATATGTAAATGCAATGAAGGGAAATGAGATATTTAAATTTTAAATATTTCGAAATTGTTGAATGAAATTGAAAGAAAGCGTATGTACTTTGAATAATACGTATGTTCAATAACTGTTGTTTTATACTTTTAGGTTCCTTGATCTTTGCACATCAAAAGATACTTGAATTGGATTATTTTGATATTAAAGATGAGCAAAGATACTTCAAGTGCCATCTATATGTAAACGTTAAAAACGTATTATTAAAATGATTAAAATTGCTGTTTTCATTTCAGAAAGAATTCGTGTTTAGTATAGACCAAATATCTAAATCATATTAAAACTAATATTCGAATTTTTACAAAAATAATTTTTTCAAAAATATAAAAAAACTCACTTGCTACCAAGCTGGGTTTAATCATTTTTAGAGAATTGATTATTTAAATCAACTAAATAATTCGTTCTTCTCATACTAAATCTAATACTAAAAGTTCTTTTTTAGTAGATTGAGGCAGGCCAAAATTACCTATTCAAGTTCAAGAAGATATTTATGAATTGATTTTTTGAAAAGCTATGACTTCATGACAATCTTGATAAAATTTGTTAAAAAAACTCACTTTTTGAAGCTGTGAAAGAAATAAGCTAAACGTGTTTGTCTAAACGTTCTGTGGATTTTGAAAATAAACTAAAAACGTTAGAACTAATTTCAGTTTAATTTTTTTTTTGTCAATTTACGTAACAGACACGTTTTTGTATCAACATTTATTTAATTCTAGTCTCAAAACCAGTTTTTTTTAGTTAGAACTACATAAATTTCATCAAAAAACGGTTTTCAAAAACCGGGTATTAACATCCACCGAACCCTATTGTGATGTTAAATTATGTTACTAAGGAAATCGTCAGAATTTTATCAGAATGGTATTATTATTGCCACAAGTAATGTGGTGACTCATCATTCCTGACATAATCAACGGAAAATGTCGTTATTATTGCTTAACTTTCGGATGTTGTTAAACATCAATTACCTAATGAACGCTATCATTTTTTTTTATCAAATTTAAATCCATTCATGTATGTAGTTTATTTTTATCATAGTTTTATTAATTTAAAGATTCACATATAATTTATATTAGAGATTTCTGTACTTTTGTATATTATTCCCTATATATTTAAAACATTATGTATTTAATTAATTTAGTTATTATATTAATTTTCAATAAACTTTGTCCAGTATTCTGAGAATTATTATATTTCTATTTTTCAATTTTGTTTAAACTGATTTTGGGCCAAAGGGCTATTGTATTCCTAATACTTTAAAAACTTCGTATCAAATTATTGCTGTTATCTTATAAATATTTTAATTAGTCTTACAAAGAAGAAAAAAGTTACATAAATATAAACAAGATCTTACGTTTATCGCCGAAATGCGCAAAACGCGGTTAGTTTAAGGTGGTAAATAGGTAATTTTAGTTTTTTTAAGGCATCGAGTACACCGCTTAATATCGAATCGTTAATCAAACAAATGCTAAATGATGCCTTACTCCATTAGATCTTATTTCAGAAACTTTTTTCAATAGTTTTTAACAATTGTTATTATTAATATGTATTTATTTTATTCAATTTGACTTCTTGTTTTATTTGGGTACTAGTGATGTTTAAGTATAACATATAATTATGTACAATTATTTTATGATAGATTAATGTTGTAATTAATCTATTCATATTATTTTTTTGAAATAATATAAAATTTACATTTTTTGTTAAAATTGAGTTTTGAGAATATGAAATCTAATAAGTGGTTTAATTGTTTCTTTTATATGTATCAAAATTAACTATCGTAAGTAGTAAGTTAATATCCTATTTTTTATTTAATTCAAATACTATTAAGCAAATCATCTATTTTTTCACATTCTTAAATTATAGAAGCTTAATTTTATTAATAGCTTTTAATTACAATAGGCATATTTTCAACATATTTAAATATTTTGTTGTAGAAGAATTTACCAACCTAAGTAATTTCATAAGCATAAGAAAACAAAAACTATCACAAAAGTGTTACTGACTGTAGTTATTTTCGACCATGTAATTTTATCATTTATATCGATATATATATGAAATATATTGATATACATTGATTTTTTTATTTATACTAAAGAAAGCGATAATTTTTTTCTTAAATTAAAGGTAATAAATATGTAAACACCATATAAATATGGAAATGACTGAAGGAGTATCATAAAGAAAAAGAAAACATAAGTAACATCAATTCGTGTTAAGGAAACAGAAACAGAATTAAGATTTACCACAGGTTCGAAGACATCCGGCTCATTGTACTCCCTTCGACTTTTGTTTTGGGCATAATTGATGGCAGCCTCGATGATGTTATTGGATTTTCGTGGTCCGTGGTAGTCCTCCGGGACGAAGCTTCCTGGATGGAAGAGCTTGATCGTCGGATAACTGTTGATGTTGTACCTCGCGCTGAAATCGTCGTATTGCACGGCATCCACACGGCCCACTTTTATGTTCGTGTTCTGCAATTTATCCGCTGTCAGCTCGTACTCGGGTTCGAATCTCTTGCAGTAGATGCAATTTGGGGAGTAAAACTGCACGATCCACGTGTACTTGCTCTTGTTCACCATGTTGTCAAACGAGCTCGGAGTCAGCTCGTACACATTGGATGCTTTCGTTCTGCTCACTACAATCAAATTTACCAACAAGCACAGAATGAAATGTTCAAGTTTTAACATTTTCCGCCTGAAAAAAACACATGTATATCAGATATTTTTGACGTTCATTTGATTGAAAGGATGATAAGGACCTTCTTTGATATCTATTACAGTTTTAAACACAAATAAAATACTATTGTTTGGTACAGTATATAGTCGAATATTTATTAAAACCTAAAAAAATGAAATATCACAACAAATTTAAAATTGAATTTTGAAGAAAATACCATTTCACCTACGGTAGTATAAGGAATATCGAAATTGTCTAGAAACTTATTGTTAAAAGAACAAAAAGAATGTGGAAGAAGGATATATCAAGGACAACGTTTAACAAGATATGACATTTAACTACAATCTAACAAATAATGAGATTCATTATACGGAAACCTATTGTTATTGTTAAGAATAAAAATAATGTGGAAGAAGGATATTTCAGGGATTTTCAACAAGAAGATCCCCAATCTATTCTATACAGTCAGACTAAGAAGTATAAATGAACAAAATATAAATTAAACTTTTAAGTTGTTACAGGTTTCCGAATAGAGCTTTAATACTTAAATTAATATCAGATTTTTGCAGAATCTAAATTAGATATGCTGAAAATGAAGAGACTAAATAACTTGTTAATATGAAACTTAGTAAAACTTGGGTGAAATCATTGATTTATTTGTAGCGAATAATCAACATTTTGAAAGAAGTACAAAAGATGTAGATGTTATCTTTTACTACAACAAATAATACTAAACGATATAATACAAAAATTTTAGAAAATAAAAAAAAATTAGTTTAACGCTGTTTGGTTTAGCCATTTATCTTCTGTTACACATAATAAATAGTATTAAAATATACAAAAATAATAACAGAAAATAATGTCAGATTAGATTTTGGGTCGAGTGATCCCGAATTACGGTTAATCGTGTCAGTGATACAATCGGAAAACGGTAATTAATAAAAAACAATGGAGAAATTACCTGTGTTCACCAGACCTGAAACCGCCTCTAGAGTACTTCAGATTCACGCCCCATCCAACATTTTTTATTCACTTGCTTAAATTATCTACAATCTATCATCGAAGAACGTACATTGGAAGTATTGCAATAACAAATAAATGATACCAAAACAAGTTTTAGTTTCTTTAATTTCTTTTTAATCTTATTATTTTATAGAAATAAAGCAACAGATGGCGTATATAGGATACATATTATATGACAGTTCGAGAAAGTTAAGCAACGAGGTTAAATTACATACAATCAATCATCGAGAAATACAATTTGGAAACATAGGAATAACGAATCAATGATAGGAAAACTAGATTTATATATATACAACGTTTTTAATTAAAAAATATATGATTTCTATTGCTTAAATATTTTTTGATAGTTTAGATGTTCGTCTTTAATTTACCTACAATTTAACAAATAAGTGTTATCATAATCAGATTAATTTTTATTGTACAGCCATACTTCAATTAATGAATTGGAGGTATTCCAGAATAATTTCATTAGGCAATACTTTGATTTCAGAAGTAAATCCATATACTTTTCATCAATATTTCTAATTATTAACTTATTTTCGTTATATTCAAGCTTCGTTATTAGAGGTAACTTTAACCGAGTTAAGCACAATTTAGTATAAAATAAAACAACAGATGGCGTCCATCAAATATATTTTTTTGACAGTTTATATAAGTTAAGCAACATTCTTAATTTATCAAGGATACATTTATATTGGATGCATTGAAATAATGAATAACTGTAACTATTTTTATCTTATTTCCTTGTAAAATAAAGCATTAGATGAGGTCGTATTATTTGCTAGTTTGTGAATGTTATAGAAAATATTTTCCAGACAATAATTATATAACAGTCAATTAAAACATTACATACATCTATCAATGAATACATGATGATGGATGTTGAAGCTACTAAAAATATAATATACATTACGAATCGGTAGTATTTTTAATGAAGAATTGGCACACTTTCTCACACATGTGCTATAAATCAAAGTAGTATATCAGTTACCATTTTACCATCGATTTTCTTCGTAATATACACGAACATGGCACAAATTTTGAACATTTGCATTTTCACAAAATTTATATAATTTACATTACATATTAAAATACAAATATTCATAATCATATTGATTTCATTAAATATCAGTATTATTATAGTTATTAATATAAAAATAATAAATTATATTTTTTGAGCCAGAAATAAATACAAAATTAAAAACTATTTATATAATCATAGTAAAGGAAGAAAATAATTAACTCTAAAGACTTTTGTAAAATAAAAATGAAAATATAATAACATTGAAAAATCATCTTACATTTACAGATTTTCGTTTTCTTATGTGATTTTTCGTGTGCACGAATATTTGTCATGTGGAATTATTTGTCATCGCGCTATTATTCTTGGAACAAATTCAAGTAAAATTGTGGTTTCGTTTACGAAATAAGTGGTTATAGCAAAAGTTTTAACATTCGCCGTAAATCAAAATAACAAGTCAAATAAACTACGAACTCTGTGTATATGTGCAATGAAACACATCCATTTTATTTTCATTGTGTACAATTATTACAATGTTGAGCAGTTTTTTACTTCTCGGAAATTTATTATTGTCATTTCTATTTAAATTACGATATTTATTGCAGACAACAGTCTCAACATTTATTTACTTTTAAAAATATCGTTCATAATTTATATTTTCTTGCTTACTGACTGAAATGTCCAACATTTTATAGATCAAGAAATATCATTTGACCCATTACTTCAAATTGTTATAGATATAGATAGTAATACCTCGCATAGTCCGGGTTATGAGTTTCACCAGTAGCGGACTTTCGAGAAACTAAAAATACACTATTGATATTATTGATATATTATTGCATTATTGATATAAATAATTAAACTGTAAGTACAATTTTTGATTATTTTCATTATTTCATAAGTTTTCATATAAATAAAGATTAAAATGTGTACAAAAATCAATGTTATTTTTTGATTATATTTTTCGTAAAATTTGAAGAATATACTTAAAGCTTGAATATAAACGATTATTGCCAAAAATTGGTTGTTAATGTTTAGAAATTTGAAAAATGCTTTTTTAATTATTATTCTGTTGTTGTTAATTGACCAATACATCAAGGTAATAAATCGAATGCATTCTTTTTGACAGACAGCTGGGCGTGGTTTGTCGAATTTGCAAAATATAGGTGGAACATCCCGAAAGTGTTTTCCATTCGGAATGGTTTTGTAAAAGGTTTGTAAAGAAGCGAAATGGACCGACAGATAAGAGAACTGGTCAGTTCATCTACTCCTTCGGTCCATCTTCTTCATCATCATCATCACGTCTCCTCTCACCGTTCGTTGTTCTTCCATATATATTTTTTTTTATGAAAGTGTGACGAATTGGTTTTGAGTGAGGAATGATTTAGTGGAAGCTAATTGCTATGCTAAGTGCGCGACGGCCACAGGTACAACTGGCGCCTCGAAGTCGCGAACAAACAATACAAAGTCTCGACGTGACAAGTCGGCATAATATTAATACACACACACATACATAACATACCATACCAAACCAAACCAAATCCCAATGCTGCTCCTACCTGAATATTTGAATACCTTTGTGCATACGCGAACGCGCGCTTTCCTATGAAGTCCAAACTAACGTCCTTAGACTTAAATCAGTTATTGCTTTATGCATTAAGAGACATTTTACGACTGTCACCAGATACTTTTTGCCTTATCCGGATCACAGCCGAGACATACTCAACAAACCCACAAGACGCTGACTAAGTGACTCCACTTACATACCGAATTGTAAAGAAAGAAAAAGAGAGGAAGTAAAAAATGAAAGAGAAACAGAAGACATGACAAGAAAAAAGACAAACGAATGAAATCCCTTCTCAATGAAAATATACACTCTTTCTCTAATTACAACCGACTTCGAGCTAAGCACCTTTCTCACAAAAAAAAAACGAGACTAAAAGAAAATTGTAAACGCTTGAAACGTAATCAGATAAATACACATTCATTCACTATATTTTCCCGAACGTTTCATTTTAAAATGTGTATTATTTACTCAATCTTTAACATCAATTTATTTCATAATTATTTAAATGCTGCCTTTTAAAGCAATTACGATAATGACACAAAATGAGAATTATTGCAAATGATTAACTTATACTTATATTTGAAGGATCTATGCTGTTTAAAAGTAATTATTGAAACGAAATTAGGTAAATACGGTAATCGGACAAAACAGAACAGTGATACAATAGAACACGTGTTTTGTTCTGTTATATCGCTGTTTTGATTTGTCATGGAATCGATAATTATTGATTCACAATATTTTCTCAATGTTTTATTTGATATGTATTATTTACTCAATTTTTCACAACAATTTATTCCATATTTAAAAGTTTTATGTATTTAAAGAAAAATGATGAAGTATTTCGATTGAAACGTAATTTTTTCACAAAGTTTCTATTTAACTTTTATTATAATCACAAGAAGAGTTTTGACTGTAGAGAGAGTCATTTATGTATAAAATTGATATTTTAAAAATTGAGATTCTTATGAAGTTTTTAGTAAGCGAGGTATTATTACAATTAAAACGTAGTTTGTTAATTACAGATTGATTACTTTTTTTGCCAAACTTTCGTTTATTTTTTTTTATTTCCTCTTCGTTGTTGTTAGTTATTATGATAAAGGCATAAAACAAGAATTGTTATAATAAAATTGACTTTTAAAAACTTTACAATGCGCATGATTGTTTACCGCAACTTAATATTTGTATATAATACGCACCCATGACTTCTCTATATTCAATATTAAATTTTATACAATATGTGTTATGAAAATTTAAACTTTTTTGTGTTTTTTACAGTTAAGTGTGTTAAGTAGTGTTAAGTGTCTCTAGAGATTGTAAAATATTTTATTAAATTAAAGAAGAATAATGAAGTATTCCATTAGGAAAAATAAAGTTATAACCAAAATAATTAATAAAACATTTCTTATATACCATACGTTTTAAAAAAATTATAATAATATCTATAGAAAATCTATAGAATATTAGCACTACTTTCGATTTGTATGTTTGAAATTATATAAAGTTAACGAATTTTGAAGAAAAATATTGAAAACTTACGTTAAATATTAGGATATAAAAACAATATCTAGATTTTATAATTTATAGAAAGCAAATTCACGTTATCATCTTTGACACTTTGTTTATCCTCTCCAACCATAGAATTTTCACATTTTTGTAGTAATATTTAATTAAAAAGTGAAAAGACCTATTGTCAATAGCCCTTTGTATCAGTTAATCTTTTTGTTTTATAATTATGATAGTATGAATATGTTTTAATTTTTTATTAGTTTAGGTAATAAATAGTATTATTTAAATAAAATTACTATTCTCTTTTTATATAGAAAAACTTATTTATTGGATTAAGTAAATGGCTACTTAATGCAGACTCAAGAGAGTGAAAGAATAAAAATCTAGACCTATTACCCCAAAATATATTCTAATAGCACATTATGATGGTGAAGGAAGAATATGAATTACAATATTTTCTATGGACACACATAATTTTAATTGCACAACCTACTTTTACCTTATTTGGGGTAATTTACCCATTAATTTTTCGCCTTGTCCTGAACTAGATATTCAGTTATTATGACAATTGTCATTTTGATATGTTTTAAACTTTTTTTTATTCGCTTCAACAGCATTAGTCATTACACGTTTAAATAGAAAAAATGGGGTAGAAAAATAAATAATCAATAATACCCTTTTGGTATAATATTTAATTACTTTGTAATTTTATTTATTTTTCAATCATTATGACAGTTTATCTCGAATTAGTGAAAAGTTACGTAAACACTAAAAAAGAGAATTGCCTGAGTGATTGTTGATTGTTTTTTGCAATGCTCGAATGATTTTAATTAATTTATATAAAAAAAATCGTCTATAAACAATTACCGAAACATTTGTCAATCAATCCGTCGGTTCGCAGAAACCTTTCGGCAAATCCCCGCCGGTACAAAAAACCAAATGACACACGAAAGTTACTCATTAAATTCGGTCCACGTAGTCAATACGAGAAGAATGTGGACGGCAATCTTCTAAGAATTTCAATTGCTCGAATTAAACTCGAACGATGATAATACCGGAACAAAAGTATAGTAACAACGACAGCAAGAAATCCGATTGCTTTTATTGTTTCTTTTATTATTGTAACAACTACAAAGAAACAAAAAACGAATGTTTTTATTGTTCCTTTTATTATTGTCACGCGTTTGTTCTGTTGTTTTCGTTATTAAACCTTCTCCAAAAACAAGTACCCGATTTGGCAACGGATTTAAACGTGATTAAAATAACAGATTATACTTGGTTTTTCTTCAATATACCGTTTTCTTATACTACATTTTCCATTATATTTGTATGTAAAGAAATACTTTGTTAATTTTTTACTTGTTTATATTATTAATACTCAAAACTAGTCTGCTGATACCAGGAAACAAGCTTGAATTACATAGTTTTTGTCATCCATCAATTCAAATGAAACTCTTAATTGCATAACAGTAATTTCATTCATACTCATTTTATTTAAATTGTTGTGATGTTGCAATTTAAGAATTTTACTCACGTGCAAATTTAAGTTATCAAAGGATAAGAGGATACAAATAAATTAAATTTATCAGTTTTTTGATGGTAAATATTGTCGGAAATTCGATCAATTTACTACTATTTTAAGAGCTAATTAATTTTGTTGTTATACATTTATCAAACGTTGAGAATAACACAAATCCAAATTAAAAATACTTATTTTCATCTCAGCATGAAAAATTAGTTGATTTTCCAAAACATGATAACTTCAATAAATAAAAGTATTTGCTGCATTTGAATTATTGGGAAACGAACACCCCGTGCCATCTGGTAGTTAGTAATACATTTTATTTTGCATTTAATCTATCTGAATGTAGATGTCCCTAGTTTCATATTAAATTATTATACCTCGTTTAACGAAAAACAACCAATTTAATATATTTAAAGTTCGATCCGTTACCTTTCTTGTTTTTACCTGTCTTGTCGTATCTCTATTTACATATTTTACAGATATTTTATAGAAGTTAGTTTAGTTTCATTTAATAGTTATTTTTTAGTTGAGTTAGAAGAAGTTCTTTATTTTGATTAGTCGTGCTAAAGAAGGAAGTTTTGGTTCATGGGGAGAAGCTGGTTAATTTAATTATTTGGGCGAAAGAAGTAATCCGAAGAATAAGTTATTTTGTGTTTCGAATGTAGACAGTGGCTGGCTTATTGGCGCGTAATGCGGAAGCCAAATGAAAAAAGGGGGAAGGAAGAAGAAGAAGAATATATTTAAATGGCATCAGGGAATTCCCTGATGACGTGTATTTGGCCGTCTTGGAATTTTCAAGAAGGTCCAAAATTTTGATCTATCATGTACTCTGTATATTTGGTTGCAAGACTTCTCTCCTACGCTGTCTGTCTGGTTGTGGTTCTATCATTTCCAAGACTCAACTTAGTCCAAGTGTACAGAACCGCAGAGTCCCAGTTTGGAAATTGTTTATATTACTACCCTATGTTATATGTTACATTTCGTCCCTACTGAGAAATTGTGCGCAGCACAAGCTAAATAAAAAGGATGATGGAAGGAAGAAGAAGAAGATGGAAATGTGTAGGACAATTTTTCTATTTTTTTTCTATTTTTATTAAATAATCAATAATGAAGTATTTTGATGTTTAATTCATGTAATGTAAATAAATAAAGTTCTTACCTATATAATTAATTGGAATTGCTAAATGTTATAATATTTCAATTTTTTATTATTATGGTTTAAATATGTTTTGATTTTATAATCTGTGACTTAATAAATTCACAATCAAAATTTTACTTTAAAACAAAACAAAAAACTAGTTTAGAACATATTTTATCAAAGTTCTAGTCTTGCACACAAAAATTGCTTGATGTAGATTGTGTGGAACCTCACATAACGAGCATTTCGCTTAACGATCAAAATGAAATGTAAGAAAAATGACTCCAAAATGGAACGCATTTGCGTATATTACATTAGTTTATATGGGAAAAATTGTTTCACTTTACGAGTAAAAAATTTGGAAAATTTGAAACGGATTATGCTCGTTGTTAAAGTAGTCAAAAATGTAAAAGTAAATTATATTTTGATTTTGCTTAGCATACTTTTATTTATTCAAAGTTAAGTTTAACGAAATTAGGAAGAAAACTGTTGAGGAAAAAGGTTATATAAGAAGAAATATACATATTTTTAAATTCTAAATATATATTTTATCCCTAAACATTTGTTCATTAAAATTACATATTGTATAAAATTTATTTAGTTATTTTGTATGACTATAATATCACATTTCTGATGTGGATATTACAATCCACACAAGTTTATTAGTTAGCGCAAAATATATTTATAACTATCTGTACAATTGCTACTATACTAATAAAAAATGAAATAAAAGGATGAAACAAATTAAATAAAAGGAAAACAATTAAGAAAGAAAAAAGGAAACTTAAAAACCGACTTAAAAACGAAAGTATTTCAACAAATTCGAATGCAACATGATTCAAAACAATTAATATACAATTCTTTACTCGAAAAGAAATAAAGTGCTGTCTTTTTCTTGCCTTTAATATATAAATTAAGTACTGACTTGAGCAAATTCAACTAAACAGAAAAAAATAAAGAAAGAAGTGTCATGGATTTTTAATAATAAGTTAAGTTTATGCTACGAGATTCTCTGTCTTCTTTTCCGGGGATTTATTTGGTTATTGCTGTCCCCGGAATGCATTTAGCTGCGCAATTAGCTTGAACACATCTGATTTGTTGTTTTATATATTTTGTTAAGTTTCTTTTTCTTTGTAAAGGTACTAAAGTCGTTTATACAGTGTTTTTTCGCGTATATAAATATAAATATTAAAACTTAACAACGGTAATACTCTTAATTTTTTTTGGAAGTCACAGCCTACCCATAAAGTTTAAAATTCTTCGAACTTGTCAATATGCATCATCCGGGTTCTCCATGTTGGCCAGCAGATTTTTCTTCTCATCTTTCTTGGAGGATAAACCTCTGAATTGCGGAGGCTCAAAGCATGGCTACAAAAGAAATTAAGAACGTTAAGTTGAAGTTTTTTTTTCTCGTGGTTTGTTATGTAATAATTACCGTTTCGCAGACGTTCATATTGCAACAATTCTCGATGGTGATTTCGCATTGTTCCGTGGGTGGCTGTGGCCTGTACGTAAGCGGAGTAACGTTCTTGTTGACGACAATTGTTTTCTTGATCCTTGGTCGAGTCTTTTTCAAATTGTAAGCGTACCTCGCCAGCGTTAATATAATTACTATAAAGACACTTGAGATGATTGATACTATCATGATCATTTGAGTAAAATCGAACATTCCGGTTTCCTGTTGAAGCAACGTTTCCACCGTTGTTACATTACTGATGATGAACTCGCATCGATACCCTTGGTGATCTGGAGGACATTCGCAAACGGGTTTAGAAGAAAACGCGTTGCACAGGCCACCATTCAAACAGTATTGGTCGCAAACGTTGCTTTCGCATCTAACTCCTGAATGACCAGAAGGGCAGTGGCATTTCGGGTTTCCCATTGAGTTTAGCCTGCAGTTTCCGTTGACACAGTAATTGTGACAAACGTAATTTTCACATCTATTACCGGTGAAACCGCGTTTGCAGCTGCATGTGCAGTCTTCAGACATTTGTCCACCGTTAAGACAATCCTTACAAACTGGCTTTTCCTCGTCCTTCGGCACTTCATAGAAGACCGAGCTCTTATTACTATTCTCCATAATAGCTATATCTAATTCCTTGCAATTGTTCCCATAATATACTAAGTTATTAGTTAATAAACCCATTGGTTTCTCCTCGAACACGGATATCTTCTCGGGCTCGAAACCATCACCTGACTTGCTCATTCTCCAAATCGCGTTCCCAACAACATCCGTCCAATACACGTATTTATCAGCCACTGCTATCCTGTATGGATCTTGGTGTGTACCTTTGTACAAGACTTTCCTATCTTTGCCTTCCAGATTCGAACTCTCGATCCTAAAGTATATTCCCTTTCCGATGTCGGCCCAGTACAACCTCTCCGCGACTTGATCGACGGCGATTCCTGTTGGCCTGAAGAGATCATCGCTTATCAAAATCTTCCTCTCTGTTCCATCCAACGAAACTTTCTCTATCGTTGGCTTCGCGTCGTTCGCGTTGGTCCAATACAAAAATCTGTAATAAGATAATCAAAATAAATATCCTTCATTCATCATCAAATCAAACTACAACATACTTCTTGCAACTATCGATGGTGATGTCCTGTGGAACTTCTTTAGCGAAATGTAGTAGCGTCGACGATTCTCCCTTCTTATTCAAAGAAATTCCATTGATGGTTTTGTGGATGGCATCGGTCCAATACAGCACGTCTTCAACGGGATCGATCGCTAAGCCCTGAAGAATATAGACATAATGAAGATGTGCTTATTGACTTTTGCAAAGAAAGATCACAAACCTGAACGTCGTCTGGAAGTTGGTTTATTATAGGAAAAATATCAGTCTCTTGTGTAAGATGGAAGGAATAGATTGTATCATTCTTTTTGTCAATGTCTTCGTCACTGACAACGAACTGGTTTCTGGCTAGATCATAGGTCAGTGCTTTCAATTGAATGAATCTAGGGAGGGCAGTTCCCATTAACGTTCCATTGGCACTTAACAATTCCACTCGATCTTCAATTGCTATAGCCAACTCTGGAATAAAAATTGAAATATTAATAACGTATACTTAAATACCACAATTATTACTAAATATGTCTCTCTTCACAATTTGTCTATTGCATTCCACAACTTGTCTGACTTGATCAGTATCCATAGATCACGTTACATCAACCAAAAATACTTAATTTTCTTATAATTTACTATATTCAACATTTTGAATCTATGAAGTTATTATAACTGACCTAAATGTAGTACTAATATTAATAATACCTGTACAAAATAAATATTCGAGTAGTTATAGTAAGTGTTAGTAGTAGACCTAGTGTAAAAATAGATAATGTTACGTCTAAGCTGTGGCCACGTCACAATTCCTAAATAGAAAAGCCAGTCTGTGAACTTGAAAACCGTATATTTTAAAGTTCTATACGAATAAAATATGTTTAGAATTTTTAGAATCTTAAACAAGGCCGACAGTTCAGATTTTTTTTTACATATCTGAAAAACTTATATTTTTTACCCCTTAATTATAATTACCAATAAAACCAAGACAAATTATGAATATTGTACCGGATTATGCAATTCGTGCTCATGAACAATAGATTGATTCGCTAGAATTACCATGCATTCATCCGTGTATTCGACACTGGATTACATAACTCTATTTCTTTTAACATTACACATTATTGTATTGCTAAATTTTATCTGAAGATGATGAAAATACGGTATAATTTAGTTAAATTTGATGTCGTAAAAGCATGCATCATACGTGTGCACAATGATTATACTTGCATTTTTTCAGTGCAATGTTAAAGTTATTTGTTTAAATAATTGAAAGTCATAATTTGTTTCAACAATCAGTAGCCTAGTTCTTGCTTTATGTATAGATTTCGTACAACTCATCTTCGTGTGTTCAAAGCATGAAATGAACACGCGTTTACGCAATAATAGTAATGGTTATCTATTGATTAAACATTAATTATATAATACACGCTTGGGGAGACAGACTTTGTTTTTTTATAGAACTTAATTGAGTGCATCAAAGGTCGTCAGTCTACGCTCGATACCAATTGTATCTTGGCCAGATTTCGTAGAGTTATTATTGATCATCGTTAATCGTTAGTTCAATCTGCTATAAATACAATAAGTAAAATTATATACAAAAATAATACATGTCGTAAGAAATTGCAATCGTTATTATCTCAATATCTATGAAAATATGAAAATTATCTTTTTAATACATCAAACAATCTTACTCATCGGATATGAAAAATATTATTTAACTTCCATTATAAAACTAAAGTGAATTGTTGGAAGCATTAATAAATTAAATGTAAATGTTTCATTGGTTCAATGTACTCATTCATTCCCATTGTACTTGTTAAGTACAAAGCATATACTATTTAATTGAAATGGTATTCAATCAAAAAAAGTAGAAAAGAATAACTATTTATAATGAACATATTTACGTAACGAAATGGGTAATTTTTTTTAATAAAATGTAGTATGAATATAAGAACAATGGAGATTGTTTAATAAATGTAAAACAAATTATTTGTACATTATTTAACTACTTATTATTTTGCTTAAAAATATGATTGTTTTCAATTTGATCATTAAGAAAAGTAGGATTACATCATTTTCTTGCAATTGCATTACATTCTCGTTTGTCACTAGTAAATAGTAATACTAGATGCTAATAACAATAATAGATAAACCCAACAACGCATACAATAATGCGTTGTTTATCTCCATATATAACATTTGATAAAATGAGAGAAGATACATTTATTTGAATTGTATTTGTATGTGATATGATTAAAAATGATTGGTTTCCATGTATATAAAAATGTAAATTGCTACAATTATATCCAAGTATTAACGAGGTTTTTCACCTAAATCTTATACAACATATGGAATATGCAGGATCGCATTAAGATTGTCGATTGTCCTAAATTTCTAAACCCAACAAATTTCTATACAAATGAATAACAACTTCGTCAACTGAATCAACATCGGATAGTATGGACTATCAAAATTCGAATTAAATTAAAGGGTAATTTCTCTTTCCTCGACATTTTCTAGAAAACAACAAAATATATAAAAATATTATATATATAAGAAATTATAAATATAACATGAGAAAATATATTTCAGACAAAATAACTACTATTGATTATAAAGAAGACTAATGAAAATCAACTGACAGCTGTCAATAATCTTATTAAACATATTGTAGTTGGTACACCTGACATTTATGTTTGATGAAATCAACGTCTGGATGCAGAATTGTTAATCTACTATAGACGGCTTAAAGTCCTTTTTTGTCTATTGCTATGGGAATGCCTAACAAAAACATAATTTGATTGCTTGATTAACATCATTGACAACCTTAATATTACCTAGACGTGTGTATGAAACTAGTGAACTTTGTTACAGCAGTAAAGTATAATGATAGTATTTTTTTTTAAATATAATTAGACCAATAAACTAAGTATTAATTATATTAATTAACATAAACGATATCTACAAAACAGTGAATATAAACTAAATATAAAAGTAATATTTATACTAAGTTTAATTACGATATCACAAATTAAAGTATTAAGAAATTTGAATTTAATTAAAATTTATATTATTTTGGGAATGCCACCTGTTGGCAGAATTTGGAACTTAAAAAACGATTATATTTCCCATTAAATTCAATAGGTATTGTTTTCTCATTAAACACGAATAAGTACTTTTATAACGCATTCGTTACGTTTACGCTTGCATTAATCGTCTATTGTGCAGTTTCATTTATAATTGCAAAAAATAAATATGATGATAATGACGATTGTTTGCAACGCAATGCAAACGTTTAGAGTTACGCCTGACGAATGTTTTCGACTGTTATATAATTCGCTGAGCGGCGCCGTCTCGCAAAATTTGCAATTGGCTCTCTACACACAATCGATAGCACGTGGCCAAAAGGCGTCCGTGGTGCTACGTGCATTCCGTCACGTAGACAGAAAGGATATCCGAGTCCTGAGAGGCTAAAAAGCGCCTGGATCAGCCGATATCACCGCACTTTGCACACTCCTCCTTTTTCCTCCTACACTCTTCAGTACAAGTTTTTCCTTCCTCATTTCATTCACTGTTGATTAAGATTGCGTAATTATATATCGTCGTATAGCCAACTCGACACCTAAACATAGATAAAAGGTTAAGGAAGGACAAGATTCAGGTTCCCAAATGGAAATTTTACTATTGCTTCCATAATGAATATATTTATTTAACGAATTGACACCGAAATTTGCTTCAATTTTATGTACATACAAATATTAGTAATATATCAATAATAAAATTATGTACATTAATAATTATATATGTATTTTTTGGGTAAAATCAAAATAAATTTAGTAATTTTAGTGTTTTAAAAAATTATATTTTTTAGCGCGAAAAACCCTATAGTCAATAGCCCTTTAAAAAGTGGTTATCCTTATGTTTTTATTTGATTTACTTTCTGTATTTTTGCGATCGAAGTATTAAGAATGTCAATATGCTTTATATAACAAATAAAATTAATCTGAATATAAACATTTTTCACTTATTGCGATTCATTTGCATTTGAAGTCATTTGAAATATGTATTTCATCCAATCTATACAAACATGTTTATAACATATTCGACCTATAACATCGAATATCATTGAAACATAACAAACAGATAAGTGATTTTCTATAAAATGTGTATACTTTTTCCTAATGCCAAACGCATTTCAGTAAATAAATGCAATAAATATTACTCTGTAAACTTCATCGTAATCAAATTTATCTGCCGGCAAATTTGTCTACCATCCTTTAGTATCTTTCGTTGGTCCATTCGTCCAGTTTTGGCGAGTTGGGCGGAGTTTAATCCAGCTAATGAAAATAGACAACGTGGCTTCAATAATGAATGCATAATTTCGATATATTTCCAATATTATTTTTGATTAACTATTCATAACCAATCATTTTCAATATTAACAAATAATTGTACGTGCTCAAAATTGACTTTTGATTCCAAAAACACTTCTTTTCTTTCAATTTATAGAAATTATTAAATGCAAAATTAGACTTTTTACATAACCATCAGTTTAAACCTTATCACAATTTCTATAAATTACGTTTCTGCAAATAAAAACCAGAGTTAAATTAAATTGTTAGCCATTTATATGATTAAAAGATGATTAAATTAAAAAATGTTATCACTACCTCAATGTTTCACTCAAAGTCAGACACGTATTGCTGTTTAAACAAAAAACGGAGACAGATAAGATTTGACCCTTGCATTGTTAAAATTCCGAAAGGTGTCAATTTCAGTAATCCATTCAACCGTCAGCAACGTTCAAGTCCTAGACTTTCAAAATGTACATGTGCAAACGCACATTTTATAAATAAAATTTAAAAACCTTTGTCTACCATCATAAGATCAAATGAAATGCGTGATATCGAGTCACAAATGACCATGAATTTAGATAGAGTCGTTATATCAAGTATTTTTTTGTGCACACAGCATTGAATGAAACGCTGGAAGTCAGTTATAATATTATTGGTACAATCAAATAGAAGATTTATAGAATTAGGCGAATCTAAATATGCAAAATAAACGATTTTACGTTTGTAGTTTTCGCATTTACAAATATTATTTTAACCTTGCCGCAAGAACGTAATAAACATACGACGTTATTATTATGCATTTTCAAGTGTCAGCAAATTAATTAAAGCTCATTAAGATGATTATAAATAGATTTTGCAGGATATTACTTTGTAACAGTTAATTATTTTAATTAAATTTATTACAATAAATATATTTTTTAATATATATTAATATTTTTAATGTTTTAAAAGTAAACATACTTAAGAATAATGTCAATGAATTTTGATTGGCCAAATGTCCATTTTGTATTCACTTAAATCGTGTCTCAACCGAAGATATCCGAAGACATGGTCATGCATGAATGCTTTACATGGTAGAAACCTGTAAGATGCATCTGCAGATCATATTCATAGATGGTAGCACCTCCACTTAAGATATAAAAGCAAGAGTGACGTTTTGTCTGCAAGTGTTACTTAGTATTCTTAACTCAACGTTTTTTCTGTACATGTGATTAGAATTTTGATTACTTCTAAGTCGCATCGTTTTATTTATGTAAGATATCATTAATTATAAGTGTTAAGTATAAATGCAGTTATCTATAAACTTTTAAATTTTGAATTTTATTATTTGTTAGTTTCTTTAGGTTAAAATCAGGCATTACATAAACATGGCCGGCGGGCGACCCACTGTTATTACAAATTACTTAAATATGTTACGTTTTGCTCATAAATTATTGTTATCTTTATTGTATTTTATTGGTTGAACACCCCTGGTTTGTATAAGTAACAACAAATTTGTATTTTGGTTAAAGTATATATTTATTATCGATATTCTATACATATTTAAATAGTACAAATCAATAATTAAATTAAGATACTTAAACATACTAGATATAGTTACGTATTTTTAAATAAGCAAAGATCTTAGTCAATGAAATTAATATTTCTATAATATTTTAATAATATTAATTTTTTTATTGAAGTTTTAATAATTTAGTTATGTTATTCAATATTTGCTAAACAATTAATGGATTGAAAAAATACATGATTTAGATACATTTATAAAGTAATAATAACATGGTTTTATTCTAATTAGTAACGGTTCGAGTTAGTTAGCAACTTTCATATTTTAAAATACGCAAAATCTGCGAGAGGAATTTGCAAGAAGTCAGGCCAACTTTCTTCTTTTACGTATCACTTTTACAAAAAGAAACAAGGATTACGTGTATCTCATTTGATCCATATATAAAAAAATATCTTTCAAAATTATTATCCAACAAAATGCAATGTATTTTCTCTTAAATTAATGATTCAAAATATTTGATTGACATGAATATTACAAAATTAATTAATTGCTATATAATAATTTAGTATCTTCATTGACCTTTCTTCTTGCAATATCAGAACAAACAAAGTATTAATAAATAACATTTTGAAATAAAAATATTAATTTTATAGTTGTTTTTAAGACACTCTCTGCAACGTTTTCCTCAGAAATGTTAAATCGGTTAGGTATTTCAAGAAAAAACAACATTATTACTAGAAATATTTTGAATTCTCCGTATTTTTAACCAACAATTGAATACTTAAAAGTATTTTTAACATTATATAAGAGTGAAATATCTTAAAAATGACATGAGATTAATTTAAAAACATCAGTCAAAGCAAAATTTTTGTTCCAAAGTGAAATGATTAGAGAATTTGTGATAGGATGTACACTAGACCGGAAATATGTGATTGAGATTATTTAAACAATATTTACAGGAAGCGGTGCATTCTAAACCGCTGAATATGCAATTTTTAAGAATTTTATTATTATTTATTGTAAAGGTGTTTTTTCTACATCTTTGACCACAAGCGTTGAATATTTTCTACTACATTATAGTAACGTGCCATTCATAAAAGATGTAGCTACAGGTAAAATCTAATTTAAAATTTACGTTTATTGTTAAATAAATATTTATAAAACTGCAATGATTTCATTAATTTCGAAACACTCGTTGCATACTGTTTGTATACTGAGAAAATCTCTGTCTATATACAATGACGAATTGTTTAGTGCAAAGAAAAACTATTTTAACTAAATAATTATCTTATACAGTGGAACCTCGCATAACAAGCATTTCGCTTAACGAGCAAAATGAATTGTAAGAAAAAATGACTCGCTTAACGAAGTCCCGGATTGCGCGCCTTCTACATCATTTTTAAAACTTGTGTACACATATTACGTGTATTTTTGAATATGTTTCATTATACGAGTAAAAATCCGGAAATTTTGGAACGGATTAAACTCGTTTAGCGAGGTTCTACTGTATTTGCAAAACTTTTAACTGAGAGAATAATGAGAATGTAATAATGAAAAATACATTTGCATCGATTAGAATGTGAAAGAAAAATTGCGCATTTCGGAAAATTTATGCAATTCAATACAAATGCAGTCGCTATTAATTTGCGCACTTATTTCAAATAACAAAAAATAACTACGTAAGTAAACTCGGAACAACAAACAAGTCGACATTGGAAATCGCGTATGTAAGCATTTGGGGGGTTTTACGAAACGCTGATAATTCTTCAAAAAATCGAACAGGATTCGAATAATAAAAAAAAAGAAGCAACATTAAATAACGAATATACGTTACATGTTGTAAATATGATAGCGTTTCTGTAAACAGTAAATAAATGATGAAACTTCAAGAGCGTATCGACTCCAATCAGTTTAATTATAGCTAATAATTACAAAGAAAAAAAATAGTATTAATTAAAAATAATATATTAAAAATATCTTGTTAATTAAGGCTCATTGTTTTCGTTGCATCAGAAGTGTTAATTGTTGAAGAAAAAGTAAACATCGGTGACATTGGTTTAACCTCGTTCTTGCTCCAAATAGTATCGAAAGCTTATCAAGACATAACGTAAAAATTAGTTTCACACTTTTTTTTCACTTTGGAAAGGAGAGTTCATGGCAGTCAAAGCTCTTGACCAAATAAAATCCGAGCTCTCTTTTGTCGACCTCTTACGATACCGTTTTTTTTTCAATGCCACCAAGGATGAAGACTTTATTCATAGTTAAATCCACTTCCGATTTCCTCTTACCAATGTGGCATTGAATGGAAAAGTGAAGTCTTCCGAAACCTTCGAAATGCTAGAACTAATTAAGACGTATTCGTTTACGTGTTTACTATATTATCAGTCTCAATTATGCGTACATACAATGAGCAGTCTTGTCCTACTAAGCACCAGAACTGGAGCAAAACGCAGCAATAATCCTTGCTGATAATGCAAATAAGATACTCTTATTGCATACAATAAATCTCAGTTTCCAGGCGATATTCAATGGTTTCTTTATCTTCTGATACATATTTTGTTTACAACAAGATTCAACAATAATATAATGACAATTATTTCAGATAATTAATTTCAGTTTTCAAGCAATTATCTTTGATTTATTTCTGCTAATATATTACAATAATCCTTATTGATAATAGAAATGAGACACTTTTATTTGTTTAATCTCACTTTTGAAGCATTTAAAAACAATAATTGGCAAATCCAAAATTGATAATAGATAAATAAAACACTTTAATTACACTTGATTTATCTCAGTTTTTAAGCTCTGATTTATTTCAGTTCAGGTATTTTTTTTACTACAGGATTTAAATATATTAACTGGTAAATCCAATATTATTTTTGTTCCGGTTTAAAGGTTTTTCCATATTAATACTATTTATAAGCATATTATTAGCATATTTAATGGAAAAAGACATTTTTCAGATATATCAATAATCTGTTATATAAATATTATATTAAATTAGTAAAACTGAATATTGTTTATGTTATTGTTTCTTAAAGACTTTTATAAAAGTATTTATTTATATAAAAAATACATTTCATAAGTCAATCTTATATAAAACTATATTCATAAGCAAGTAATAACTAAATATCTTACAAGTGTCTAATATTAAGACTTTTTACTGTAACATTTCTATTATGTTATGTCAAAAGTTATATCATCAATTAATAAAAAGTAAATTAAACCAATTACATTTTTGATTGCTTTCTAACTAGGTTTTAAAACTGGACGAAATGCATGAGCTAACTAATTGTCAGGGTGATGACAAATAGTTTATTTAATGAAACGATAAATTGTAATTGACGTTCTGTCTAAATTGAAACAGTGAAATTGTAATGACAACTCTTCCTAATAATTAATGTAATAATTAGTAATGATAATGTTAAAAACTATAAAAATATTGTGTTAATTAATTATTCTTAAGAATAAAATAATTGTTCTGATGGATTCTTGGCAAGAGCGGCAACTCCTTTAGCATTGTTAAATGTAACACAAAACTCTCGACTTTCTCTCAACTGCAATAATAAGCGAATTGCAAATCCACGCAGCGTTTCATTCTCAAATCATTAATTAAATAATATTATCGTGACTCTATCAGAAAATCCTTATCAACTTACGTAAGTACGTTTCGGTGCGCGTAAAGTAAAAAAAAAATAGAAACGATAAAAACTTATAAAAGAAAAAATAAATCGAAGATATAGAAAAATGGTGTTATTTTTTTTTTAAGAATTTACTTTATAGTTAACCTGTCTATTGCAACGCAAAATTAGTCGCATTCGCGCCAACGTGCGAAAATGTTAATTGTATGAGTTTTTATTTAAATTTTCATTGCCCAAGCACGTGTCGTATGTTGGTTATATAACCGGAACTCCCGTGACAATTATTAAAATAAAAAATTTCATTACAGAAATACCTACGGTTCTGTATACAATTTGTTTTGGTGATATGAAATTTCCGAGGGGGAAGATCGATATTTTTCCGCCCTCAGAATTTTTTTCCGGTTTCCTTCAACCCGCCGACTGCTGTCTACGTGACTCATAGAGATATGCCAATGGCAGGCGCGAAAATTTACTTTATATTTAGTTTAGCAAGATTTTTGGTCAACTTACCCCATGGATGGTCGTAGGGTTCAGATCCGGTGATGGAAACGGCGAACATTGATATCAAGGATATTGTAAAGAACATTTTAAATTTATATATGTGTGTGTGGTTTTAGTATTTGGCTAAAAATAATTTGGTTATGTTGGAAAAGAAGAGGACAGGTTCTGGTACGAGGCGCATTACATTCACGCACACTTCCACGAGCAAAATGCTGTTGATCGTTGCACGAACGTTGGCTATATGCTTGATTTAGGTTTGTCCCACTCTTCCCATGTTCGAAACCGATACCAGTGACGTAGGTGAATCTTATATAAACTAGTTTATATTACTAAATTCATTGAGAACTCTTAATTACTCTTTATTTCGCCCTAGAAAGCGAAAAAATCCGAGCACTGATGTTATTATTGATTGATGTTCTATTTCCAGATATCCTCCAAAAACGATGTTGGAATTGGAGCAACGATGGAAATTCCATCTTAATCGCGTTAATTAATTTACTGTTTACACTCGAGGATGTGTTAAAAAAGAATCTAATGATACCAAGGCAAGATTGTTGCTCATTAACTTATTACGCGTTCCTTAATTAAGTAAACAAATTGAATTAATCCATTATTTTCAATGTATGATTATAAACCATTCAATAATTGACAATAGAATGTAAGTTCAATAGTACACATCGATGAAGGTCTTCATTATCCTTTTTTAGCGTTCTAAAACATATTTTATAATAAACAACAACAAATAATTATCTACTAGACTTACATTTTTCCTTATTATACATATTTCTGTATATAGTATTAGTTTTATGTTATCTTTAGGGAAAAAGTTTGTAGGTGTTGGTACCATTGATTCCAATCGTCGACAACCATTTTGATTTTTAAGTGAGGTTAGATCTGTAAAATGGAGACAAACATCAAACTTACATACTAGTAAATACGCAATGAACGGCGCGGCGCGTTAACAAACGAATGCATATCATTAATGTTGTAGAAAGCAATAACAAATAATTATCGAACAGACTTACCTTCGCTGAACGAATTAAAAGCGGACGCTTCTAAGCGCTGGCAACCATTATGCATTTTGTAGGTGTTGGTACCATTGATTCCAATCGTCGTCAACCATTTTGATTTTTAAGTGAGGTTAGATCTGTAAAATGGAGACAAACATCAAACTCACATATTAGTAAATACGCAATGAACGGCGCGGCGCGTTAACAAACGAATGAATATCATTAATGTCGTAGAAAGCAACAACAAATAATTATTCGAACAGACCTTCGCTGAACGAACTAAGAGCGGACGTTTCTAAGCGCTGGCAACCATTATGCATTTTGAAAAGTGAGGATAGATCTGTAAAAACATGAAAATTATTGTAATTAGTAATAATATAGTAACGTTTTCTTATGATGAAATCGGGTTTGAAATTATTATATAAATCGATACTTCTTTAATATTGGTCTCTTTTATAAAATAGCAATGAATAAACGTGTAAATAAAGGATTTTATTAAATTTGATTCGGAAAATGTTAAGTAGTTAAATAAAGTCATGAAATAACTGAAGTAAATAAGATTTGAAAGAATGGGAGATTTCGATTGGTTGGTTTATTCAATATATCAATCTAATGAAAGCAAAGAAAGAGCGTTGCTCATTAACTTATTACGCGTTCCTTAATTAAGTAAACAAAATGAATTAATCCATTATTTTCAATGTATGGTTATAAACCATTCAATAATTGATAATAGAATGTAAGTTCAATAGTACACATCGATGAAGGTCTTCATGATCCTTTTTTAGCGTTCTAGACCATATTTTATAATAAACAACAAGAAATAATTATCTACTAGACTTATATTTTTCCTTATTATACATATTTCTGTATATAGTATTAGTTTTATGTTATCTTTAGGGAAAACGTTTGTAAGCGTTGGTGCCATGGATTCCAAACATCGACAACCATTTTGATTTTTCACAATTGAGGTTAGATCTTTAAAATGGAGACAAACATAAAACTTACATACTAGTAAATACGCAATGAACGGCGCGTTTGATACCTTTTTATTGTTAATATAACAAACGAATGAATATCCTCATGATCATGAATGTTGTAAAAAGCAATAACAAATAATTATCGAACAAACTTACCTTCGCTGAACGAACTTCTGGCAACTGGCAACCATTTTGCATTTTGAAAAGTGAGGTTATACTGTAAAAACATGAAAATTATTGTAATTAGTAATAATATAATAACGTTTTGTTATGATGAAATCGGGTTTGAAATCATTATATAAAACGTGTAAATAAAGACATTTATTGAATTTGATTAAGCAGTTTGATAAAGTCATGAAAGAAATGAAGTAAATGAGGTATGAAAGAATGGGAGATTTCGATTGGTTGGTTTACAATTATAACACGTGATTTCTAGCTCCGCCCAGGAGTTACTAAATTACCTATCAGTTTTGCTTTGGACCACATAGAAATTGCGAAATTACAATTGTTCTGTTTCTTCGCTGTCGATCATTTGCTTTTTACATCACAATATGACTAATACCTGGTAATAAAATATGATTCATCGCGAAACTTCTTTATTCTAATTTATGAAAATGTTTGAAATATAACAAAAAAAAAACAGAGCAGAAAGATTGAGCTTGAAATATCTGATTTTTTAAATTAATTAAATTTTGTATAATTTGAATTTCAAATCTTAGATTTATCAGAATTGGATTCTATTTAAATATATTGATTCATTATAATTATATAAATCAATTATCGTTTATTATATCAATTAGCGTTTTAATGATAATTTTAACTTTCTTTCTAGTAATCATTAAATATACCTGTACTTTCTTTTTTATTGTCCTTTTACGTTAACCAGCTATTACTGTTGATCATTTTTATTAGAATATTAATTGTTTAAAAAATGAATGTTTTTCTTGAAAACAATCATCGGGAAAAGTAAAATAAAGTAACATAATTGTAGAAATAATTGTAATTTGCTAATTTGTCGTTGCATAAATAAATGGTTGACGTATTTTAGGAGCATTGACAAAATTAATTTTAAGATGCGTAGTGAAAGGAGGTTGGGACAGTACTTCATTAAATACCTGCATTATATGGAGAGCGAGAGGACGCATGACAAGAAATGAGGCGTGTCTGCGCGAATAGTCAAAATAATTGGATTGTAACCACATATAATAGATGATCCGTATTGGTAGAGACACCGTAACATCCTTTGCTGTACATATCGAATATCCAATGTTTTAAGGCTCCTTAAGAATAAAAGCAGCGCAGAGTCGCTCTGCGCTTTTCGCCGCCCAGTACAAAAAGAAAATATATTGCGAAGGAAATTATTTTTCATGAATGTTTAGCGGTGGAAGGATGAATTCTATTTTGTGAGGCCTTTCATTAACGGGGCTCATATTTTCAGTCTTGATTTTTTACATTACAAATAGATAATAAGTTACGTTGTATTATGGATTTATTTATGATTACAAGGATTTCAGAAATGTAATTGTCAATAAATTTAAAAAAATGTTTTGTCTTACATTAGACAACGTAATAAGTATATTATCTTTATAAAATCAAACAAGAAGTTAAAAAAATGTCTGTTGTCACATCTTTTGAGGAGATGCACAGTGCACGGAGTTTACAATTGTTCTGTTTCTTCGATGATGAATACTTTCTCTTTCGATAGACGGAATTTTGGTTTTCGGGCTTGCGGAGAAGGTATAAATTATGAATTATGTTTATGAGAAATGTAATAGATTTGGAAGTGTTTTCAGGTATAATATGAAACTGCTATCAGAATATTCACTTTACTGAAATTATGTATACAGAAACTTTATTCCTTATAAACTTGAAATCTTAAGGACAAAAATTCCAAATATTGTTTTTTAATGAACAATCGATATATTATCAATAAACTAAGTTTGTTTCATTCTATAGGTCAAGCACTAACAACGTTGATAATAATTGGCGGTTAATTATTTTGGTTTTTCCATAATTAAACTGGAAAGGATATTAAACTATCAGGATATTCACCTTACTGAAATTATCTGTGTTATAATTTTTACAAGCATTAAGCATTTTAATGTGATTATTTCAAGTAAGGAATTTGATATGCATAAAGCAGATTATTAGAAAGAAAGAAAATGTTAATTCATTAATGAAACCTTCAGATCTTCAACTTTAATATAATGTTAGCTAAAAGATTTGCACAAAAAATCAATTAATATCTTCACCAGCAAAAATTCCATTCATTAATTAAATGAACGAATCACATCGATAAATTAATTTATATTAGCATATTCATTCTACATGTGTGCATATTGGAAACAATATGTTTAATTCATGTTATTTTCAAATTTTAAATAATAATTAGTATCTTAATATGTAAATAATATTTATGTATTTTCTATTCATATTTTTTAGGAGGTTTCCTTTTCAAATTGACTATCAGCATTTAGTATTCCAGTGCTTCCCAACCTTTTTTCACGTCACGGCACATGCCACGGTTGGGAAGCATTAAGAATTATCAAACATAAAATATTCTTCTTATTCCAGTTTGATTTTGCATTGCTTTTCATTGTTTAAGTTAGTTTGGTAAAATAATTAAAATTAACTATACATTACTTATTCTTCAAATTTGTTATAAATAATCTGTAACTAATTTTCACTGAAATAAAGACACACTGAATATTAATTATATTAACTTATTTTTTGTACTAAGCTCTCATCTGAAAGAGCGCAAATACTTTTAGCTGCGTCTTGTTTATATATTACAATATATATTTTTTATGACGTATAATTTGTTTCTATATATATAACAATATTTAAAAAATAAAGGTAAATAAAGTTACGTTTACATTTCTTTTGCGAAGGTAAAATGGGTTGCCTAGTATCCCTTTTTAATAAAGTATTGTTAAAGCTTTATCTCAATTTTATTTATTTATAGTTTAACCCTTTCCCGACTTTGTTTAAAGTTTTTTTTTATGTTTTCATAAGTCAAAACTATGTTTTATATTAGAAATTGGCTTTAAGGGTGTGAGGAGGGTAGTGGTATATAAAAGTACCAAATATTTGTATTGGTTCTTTTATGTACCTTCAGTCCTATACCAAATCACTTTTTCCTTGGTCCTGACATAAAACTGTGTGGTATATATATGTACCAGCAGTCTCCAAAGGATTAAAAAAAAATTGAAATAAATGTATGCAATTATCCAAGACTGTACTTTTATAACTTGATCGAAGAATATAAAAACTGACGAATTTTCAAAATCTACTTTATTATTATCTACTTTATTACTCATTAATCATAATCTACCGTTTATATTAGATTAAAACTTGCATTTAACCATTTTTTTCTCACAATTGTTTAATATGATATTAATTGATTATTTAACAATAATAAATTATAAATTAAACTATAATAAATAGATTAATTTCTGAAGATTTTCTTTCATTAAGATCACAATCTATATAATAACTACTTAACAGAAAATTGAGTGCAATTGAGATGTAACTTAAGATTGTGAATGTTTGTTTGCTGCGGAATTACCGAACTACTCTAATCACAACTAATACATCTATTTTTGTACGGTTTCGAGTGGCTCAAAATAAAAACATACTAAATCGAGCATACGATCGAAAGGTCGGCTGATAAACCAACTGATGAGTACATATGAAACACTCATAAAAAATGTAATGTTACGTTTTTCCGGCATACATAATCAAATGTAAATATTCGCAGGCATAATCTGCAAAAGTGCAGTTTTTAGCGTAAATATTTACGTTTTGATAACGGCGATTGGTAATCAATGAGAGTATCTGAGAAATCATCTACGTGACGCTTCACTGGTATAAGATTGCATTCATTCTGTCTTAGGTATGAATCAATAAAGATTGATATTATTTAGATTGATGCCAATTGAAGAATGTTTTATACAATTTGAAATGATATTTGTTGAATGAACGAATTCATCACATTTATTGTAGATGTTCTTACATTTGATTTTATAAGTTTGTTAAATGAACTGTAGTTTAAAGCTTTTTTTTTTGTATTGTTATTTTTATTGATAAATAAAATAAGTAAACTTTTAAATAAAGAAACAATTCTACTTTTATAAATATAATTTAGTATTTAAAAATAAATAAAATATTGCAACTGATAACCGTTGGTCTTTCCGATCTATTTAATTCAAACAAAAAAAACTTTATGAATTGTTAAATGACAATATTTATTGTAAAGTAAATTTAGATTATTGATGATATGCACTTAATTTAAATTAGCAACAGCCATTTGAACTTAGATATTAATTATAGAAATTGCTGATGGTTGCACATTTAGTTGAGATAGTAACAAATCACATAATGCACACGAGATAATTAAATATGGAAATCAAATAATCCTTAAATATTGTTTTGATGCGTACATTGCAATATTATATTTTGATACAGACTAATTTGCTGATGAAATATCATTTTCATATATAAATTATATTTGTTTTAATGAATTAAACACAATATTCGAATGATTTATGGAGATTGACTTCAAATATTTAGATGACAGCAGGAAGCTACATAATGTTAATTTATAACTTGTGCATAGAATCTTGTTGAAAGCTATAGTTAACATAAAATTATAATTTAGTGCGACAAGTTTTATTACTTAATCCACCTAAATACTTAAATATATATGACTTGAAACATTAGCACGGTTTATAAAAACAGGGAAAATTTCCAAGTGACGTAAATTCATTATTTTATGTTGAATGAAAGTTCTCTATATAATTTTAAATCAATTTATATTAAGTTATTCTGTTACATTTCATATTGTTTATAAAAATTTATTGTATAACATCTATTTTTTTTTAATTTAAATATAATAAATAATAGAACGAAGTGTATTTCTTGGGAGATTTTGCATTTAACTAACCATTGATAATGAGATACATCGGCACAATACACTGAATGTTTATAGTTCAACTTGTTATTTTAACAAATTATGTCCTTGTAAATATCTTTTTTAGTAGATGTAGACCACGGGTGGTCCATCTTCATCAACCTTCAGAACCTGGACATTGATAACTCTTGTCTTCTTCACGTGCTCATCACTATGTTCACTGATTTGTCAGTTTATTCTTCTCGAACCTCTTCTCTCGTCTTCCTTAATGGTGAGTACATATGAAATATATGACAAGAGTCCCC